CTCCGAGAGAGTTTGGGTCGGAGAAACCCAGAAGGGCCCAAACTCTCGCGGAGTGGCTAGGAACACCTGGCTACGCAGCCTAGCAATCAAGAATAGATATAAATACATGATATTCAAAGTGGTGGTTTTTTTTGGCAGTGCAGCAATGGACCTTTCATACCTCATCAATTTCATCATTGTGTTTAAGTCAGTCACTGTATGTTGGTCTCTTCTAAAAATTTGAGCTCTTGGGGTTTCATTGTAGTCATAAAATGAGCCAAATTTTTGACGATATATATCACAACCACTTATGTTGTAAATGGAAGGAAAATATCTATAAAAACAATGTACTGTTAATATAATGTATTTGTTCAAGTCTCTTTGGCACAAATATAAAAAAAGCACTATAGCTTGCTTTCAACATTTGTTCAACTTTGTGTACATAGTACAGTGTTGAATGACGCTGCATGGATGGTGAGTGAACACTTTCAACATTATTTACTGCAGCAATATTTGYTTGATTTTGTTGAATGACAATATCAATGAAAGCTCAGTTCAGGGCTTTAAAATAACACTGTGCTGCTGTTTGTACTGCATTGTTGAAATAACCACACAAATGGCTTCAAGTTCATCAATGCGACATTATTGAGAACATAGATTAGTTTGCCCAAGTGCGTTCAACACTGCTGTTCATGTTGATAGCATTTGCATGGGTGTTAATGATTGTGCATGCTTACGGAGAATTGTAACTTGACCAAAAGCGGTTCTGTTCTAAGAATACAGTCATGTCAGCAGACTCAGTCATGCCAGGCATTTGCTCAAGAATAGAAAGTGTTCCTGGTTTTAAAGGCTGACCAGGCACAAACTGTTTGTAATCCAGAACCATCCACTAGATAAGTTAAAATAAAGCACAGATGTCATATTATGTCTTTAATAGAATTTTAATCCAAAAATTGTTTATATCTTACCTGATTATTACACCTATAAATGTAGACATAATCCAACATAAATGAGAATGTGGAATAAAATGAAAACAAAAATTAAAATCATAACCGAGATAGAAACATCTGATGGTAAATGATGAAATCACATACCAGTCCTATTGTTATCTAACAGACAATCATTGCAAAATATAACATACTTACGTTCCACTGTTATACTTTGAGAATAGATAGGTCCACTCTGCCGGTGTCTTTGACAGCCTGTTAGCAATCATGGTTCTTAGCCATTCCCAAAGGATACCATCTGGTGTAACATATTTCCACAAATCACTGTTATAATTTTCAATTGTAGTTTCTTGAGAAACCTTTGAATGAATAACAGGGCTGTTAGAGCGGATTTCGTATGACTGTGCAAAAAACATGGTTCGTTCTTTCGAGCTGTGACCGTACCGCTGTAGCAGTGATGTACTGTTAAACCTTTATTTTTATTTGGAATCCTAGAAGGCGAGGTTCCGTGACCGTGCCGTGCCGTGTCCGTGCTGTGATCCGTGCCCAGTCATAMGAAATCCGCTCTAAGAATAGATAGGTCCAATGTATCAACACCGAACATTCCCTTCTTAATATTTTTTGAATGTCACAATATAACGCTGTACTTTCAATTGAGATTGTGAAGTGGTGTAAAGTTGTTGGTAAATAAATAAGACAAGAATGAAAATAGTTTATATACAAAGGAATCTTATGTAAATTGCAAAAAAAAGTGCACAAACATTATACACTTTAAGATGAAAATTACTGTTGGTAATAATATATCATCACTAACAAAATGGTTTCAATACCGCAATAACAAAAACCACTTATACTTTTAACTCTACAACTTACCATTCCACTGCTCAGGAGGTAAAAGTCATCTGCACTATATAAGGTACCAGGATACGATGAAAAACTTTGTTTATAACCAGGGATTACTTGCCCTGTGAAAAGTAAAAAATCAAGAATTTAGACAATGGGACTTGCNAGTCATGAAACTGGATAAACATGTTAAAATTTATAAAGACTGAAATGATCAAGATCTAATGGGTCTGAGATTATGCGATTCACGTTAGATGGCATGTTTTTGTATAGATGACAAGCAAACAGAAATTTCTTGGTAATTTATAAACGAAGCGAGTTGAAATCCAAGATTTACATTGTCAGAAGTTGTATTAATTACCTGATGCAATTTGGCCGACATCAATATGGAAGTTGTTTGTGAAGTTTCATCATGAACTATCCACTTCAATATAAATGTTTGGTTCTTTCAATTTTGAATAACACATCAGGACTTTTGTCGTAGGTCGTGCCCAGAACAAATAAACAACTGGATGAAGCCTTGTTTMTAGAACTCTCAGATTTTATTTAAATCAAGTCAATGAAAATTGCGTGGCATACATTTCTAGCTCACTGTTTTAAGGGTGTGTGCAAAAATGTTGATGTTGACACGTCGCACGTTTTTGGCCAAAATAAACATCTCCAAAAGCCAGAACTTTCAATGTATTTTCTCCATCTCTCGAGAAAATAAAAACAATTAGAAAGTGTAAGACTTTCGACCAAGAATTCGGAWTAAGCTTCAATCGAAAGGTTTTTCTATTTTTTCTAGAGTTCAATATGTCGGGCCCACTGGTTTAAAACTATTTCTTGAAAAACCCGGGACGTGCCCATAGCGGAAACCTACCTAAATTAAAATCTCTCGACTTAATTAGTCTCTTTCAACAGCCGCGACTTCCGGTCTCAATTAGTTAGTCAAATTTCCTCCCCAAAAGTAACTGGAAGTCGCGGCTGTTGAAAGAGACTGCTCTCGACTGGACCCAATGTGAAGAAAAGTAAAATCCATAATTTATCGTCTCCTATTAGTGCATTAAAGATAAGTCATTATTTCAAAAGAGAAAGTGGTAAAATCTATTTTTCTACACGTTTATGTTTTGTAGCATTCCATTAACGAGATGCTTTTATTTTTAGATCTTTTTATTGGTTTTTAAGATTATCAAAGAGAAGGAAATTGAGAAGCCAGTTCTTCCCACATAGTTCCAATTTTTAACACCAAAAGGAAACGGATAAAACAAGTCCTGTATTCCAACCCAAGCCAAGAAAGTACAGGGACCGCGGAGCATGAATTTGTTTGGGGGGGGGGGGGGGGGGGGGGGGGGGCTTGCGGCGATGAGGTACTACGGGGATTCGGAAATTTTTTGAAATGTAACTCTCGGGATTGTCATTTCCAGCGTTTTGAGGCGTTATCAAAACCATTAGTTTACCGCACACACGGTCAGCGATATTATCAATAAATCTTCGCAAAAAAGCTTCAATTTTAATTGTTTACGCTCAGTTTTTATACAATTTTTATAGAATATATATGGTGAAATTTGATAAGGACGCTTCTTTATTTAGAAAATTCAAAATGTCGGAAAAATTATTGGGGGGGCTACCCCCCTGCTCCGCGGTCCATGAAGTATTAAAGAGCTCCTTTTCAAGTTCCGCAACGCAATTCAACTCAGGATTCAAGTCGAATTTTAATGCAGCACAAGAAAGGAAGACAAAATTCAGGCAATTCGTCGTTGTCAAAAAGCAACAACAATGAAAATACCTACACAAAAACCCATGCACATCAAAGTGGACTTYAAGAAACAAAATAATAATGCACCAAAAAATCCGCCCTATGCCAAAACCAAGGTAAACATTAAGCTTAACACTAAAGTGTGCCATCCTCGAGAACCCAGGCGTAATGAGAAAGGGAAAAAAGAGAAGCAACGCYAATCAGGATAATATCAAACATCTGGACAACCCGACCAAGTAAATCTTATTGTTCTATAATTTSATAGCTAAACTAGCTCTTTGCATCTGTGTGTCTTGAGTTGGAAGTGGAGGGGAGATTGAAGCTCTCTGTATATTAATAACAATTTTTTATGAAAAAACTTTKAATTATATTTTTTTGAAAGGTGGAAGTTTCAAACTRCAAGGAAAACTGGAAAACAACACAGAAATATCAGCAAAAATGTACACATCAACCATAAMAAAAGTCATGGATTGGGAAGAGTTCAGAGATAAAACAACTGGAGCTATTTTTGAGGTTTACGGTAGGGCTTGGTTGATCAACAAGTTGCAGTATATTATTGCTATAATGACATGAAATCCTTTCTTTCTTTTGATTCTTTATTTTTAACTGTTGGCGACCCTGGCGTACTTGACGTAGAGTTAAGTATAAAACCAATTATTGCTACTCAGAGAATGGACTTGTTTCACAGCTGCTATGGATAAATCGAWCACAAACAATGATCAATGGGAAGACTGGAAACACTGATAGTATTATCCTCCAATCACGTTGAAGCTTCTGAGCACTATGCATATTTGAAGASTAGAACAATAGATATATTAATGTCGTCCAATAATTCACTAGTCACATGAAACCCCCGCCCCCCGGGGAATACCGGGGAATTTAACGTTTGAGTGGTGTTAAAATAGGACATTTCCCACGGTAGTCGGGGCACATTCATTGTCAAAATCCCCGCTACTGTTGCCCCGCTATTTTGGTCTAGTAGTAAATAACACAACAAATACCTTTCAACCAAATTTTCTGTGATACACAGGGTTAATTTTTGCACAATCCTGTGTACCCTTTTGAGTACTACATGAGGTTTACTGGACAGAGAAAAACATGTGTAATAAGTTTCTTTTAAAAACATTTCATGCAAGGAAAAATAAACAAATAAAAAGCGGGAATGAATACCAATGCCTTCAGGATATTTCTCAAGATGGCCGACGTCTAGTTTCCAGCCGACTCATACATTTTTAAAAGATCATTAAAATCCCCGCTCTTTGCCCCGCTTCGAAAACAATTCATCAAAATCCCAACCCCCCAGGTCAATGTTACTGTTAAAAGCACGTTAAAAACACGTCACGTTCCCGTTCAGTGCCCTGCTAGCCCCGGGGGTCGGGGGCAGGGGTTTTAATTGACTAGTGCATCACGTTGAAGCTTCTGAGCACTGCGGGCTGGCTTAGAGGTTGGTTTTGCACTATTTTTGCAGATCCTGAAGACTTTGCTCGATTGCRMAAAATTTAATCAACTGAAAAATAATTAATATTGTATTTAATCACAATAACTGAGTTTACCTAACATACTTTAGATAAATCGCATGATTTAGAATTTGTTCAATTCCCATTTTCCCAAGAAACAAGAACAGGCGAGAAATCAAATTTGTCAGGATGACCAAGGGGACGCTTCCATTCTGTTTTGCTCCATTGAAAGACAGGCTGTTGGTCATGCGTTGGACCGCTGACAGCTAAACACTGGAACTCCTTGAACATTTTGGATGATGTTGCCTGGAATAGAATGCATCAAGAAGTAATCTTATCAATAGATCATGCAGGTAATGACGAAAATGATTCCATCTTGTGGGTAAGGGAAGTAATGGGGAAGAAAGGAAAGAAGGGAAAGAGAGGGGAAAAAGAGGATTAAAG